GACATTTCCTGAAGCTTGGAGAACATCAAGGTTGGTACTGCTTCTCAAAACTGAAGAAAAATATTGCCTAATAAGCCTCTTTCCATGCATCGAAAACACGACCGATGACACGAGCACCGTTGAGGCAATTGAAGATCCCCGATTTCGGATAAGACATACAGGCAACTTCTTGAGGGACTAGATGACAGATCACAGACTGAAGCTCGCAGCAGAGAAGTCCAAAGCTATTATTTTAAAGGATAAACGGAAAAGACAAGGGATAAAACTCCAATGTGAAGAGCTACAAAAACATCAACGATAAGCGTCAAATATCTGCTAGTGACACTACACGAATATGGCGGATAAGAGGATCATATAGGAGTGGTAGCCAAGAAGGCTGAAAAGAGTGCGGCTGCAATGGGGTGGGTGATGACTAACATTGGAGGACTCAAATCAGAAAGCAAGAGGGTCTTACACGGTATTGTGCAATCAATCATCCTTTACGAGGTACCAGTCAGGAGTATGGCTATAGAGATACCGACCTAAAAAGGGCTCATGATACGAGTAAACAGAACAAGTCTGTTGCGAGTAGCATGCTCCAACAGGACTGTATATGCGGCGGCCTTGTATAATATCACGGGTTGTGTTCCTTTGCAAGTGTTAGCATTATAAAGAAGACATCTCTATGAAAGAAGAGAATATTTGACAGCAGCCATAAAAAAAGAAGAAAGAAAAATATTAATATAAAGATGACAAGAAAAGTGAAACAACACAGAAGATATTGCTCAGTGGATCAAGACGCAGATCTCGAGCCTAAAGGACCAGGTGTACTGTAGTCACAGGCAAGTGTATTACTTCCTGACGCAATTGCTCACAGGATATGAGAGTTTTAGGACACATTTTCATAGATTCAGAAAGACAGATACAGATAAATGCGTTGTGGATACGTAGACATTGTTACTCACACAATGCTGAAGTGTAATAGAGGGACAGTGAAGAAACACACACACACATATATATATATATATATATATAATATATATATATATATATATATATACATATATATATATATACATATATATATAATATATATATTTATATATATATATATATATATATATAATAATATATATATATATATATATCGGAAAAAGGAGTACGACCGTCAATCCAATATATATATAAGGATCACTCAGACGAGTGGTGGGTTCTTATATCGGTCTCTAGGTGGAGAAATAAAAGACAAAGTTGATAGGCTACTTTATCTATTTTGAAGACGTTTCGCTTTCGAGTTTTGAAAGCATCATCAGTTCATCTAAAAAATTATTACAATATGAGAACCACACAATCATGGAAACGATGTTAATTGTTACCTTAAAAAGATATGTAGCAGTCAATGTTATTAACAAATATGTGAATGAAACTAAGTAAATGGACATAGTACGCTGATCTTGTATAAACAGTTAAGCAACTAACAACATATATGAACTTGTACAAAAATTAGCACAGCAATTGACCATGTGGTCCAAAATAAATTCAATGTTATTTATGTTAATAAGTGAGAAAGAACCAAGAAAATCATAAATAACCTCCAACTATTTAATGGATATTAAACTTTGATTTTAACTTTAGGTAGCATTATAAGTAATATTAATAAAATTCTACAAAATAGTGAATATGAAGTTACCGATCAAAGCCCTATGGAAGTCGCCGTGAAAATGGCGTTAGATGAAACAGGAACGAACTAAACCGCAAAAAGACAGCCAACCTTGAGGTCAAAATTACTTTTGACAGATCAACAAGGTGTAAATACCAACCCAGAATTTTGGGCGGTTAATTTAATTTTTTTATTTTATAACTGAGTCTGGATGACTACCAGGTTGTAAAGGACACAACAGTGAAAAAAGTTGGTAGTGTAAACACAACTCTCCTCACTAACCGGCCCAAATTTACAAACCGGAGATTTTCATTCAAACTCATAATAATGTAATGACGTTAATCATGTGGCAAGTTAAATAGCCAGGTGGTTAACGATATTATAATTTCCAAACAGCCCAAGGTTCAATATACTTGGAGCTGTGATTTGTAAAGGATTCTATGAATCAATTACAATGTTTGTATTATTTTGTATATAATTTGAAACTCTAATCAAAGAATTTAGTGTAATGAGATGCAATATGGGTTGCATATGTAATAGTAAAATTAAGTAAAGAAATTAAGTTATTTTAATTGATATATTTATTTATTTTATTTCTATTTATGTATGTAAATTGTTTAATGAAAAGTGGAAAAAAGTTCAACTAGTACACCTAATATGACATTAATGTAGTGAAAAGATTAAGTAGCCTAATTCTGCAAAATTAAAGCATGATATATCTGGCTCAAGTTACTTATGTCAGTTCTCTTATTCAATGCATTAGGATGTTTTAATATTGAACACATTTCCAAAAACTGTCTTTTAGCTAGATTGCGTTCAGTGGCAAGAATCTTAACTTCATTAAAATCCACTTCATGTTTTGTATTTATCGCATGTTGTGCTAGAGCACAAGTGTGTTTCGATAAGTTAATGTCACTACGATGTGAAGTGAGACGACCTTTCAATGATCTACCAGATTGCCCAATGTAACAAAGATCGCAATTAGCGCATGGAATTTTATAAATTGTGTTCACTTGTTCCAAAGTGGACAAGGGTGTTTTAGTTTTAGAGAACAAATTTCTAACAGTTTTTGCATTCTTAACAGCAATTTTAACAGGTATATTATTTTGTTTATACAATTTAATAAGCTTCTCAGTAACTTGAGGGAAATATGGTAAGGAAGAGTAATGCGTGATAGTATTCTCAAGATCGGTATTATGCAGAACAGTGCTATTTATAGAATTATTAGAGATGTTTATAAGTTGGTCACCATCGGGTATGTCATAAATTGAGGATCCATAACTATGCGAATAAAGGTATTTATTGATGATAGAGGAAGGATATGAATTCTCTATTAGAATATTTCTCAATAACTTAAAGGATTCCCTTCGATTAATTGGATGTGTCAATTTATTTAATCTAAAGCTTAAAGCTTTTATAAGGTTCAGTTTGTATTTCATAGGATGACAGGAATGGTAGTTAAGGAACCTATTAGAGGCCATTGATTTTCTATACCAACTTGTGGTTAGGGTGTTATCTCCCATTCTGATGACACGCATGTCAAGGAAGGGTATACTATTGGTGGTAGTGTCCTCAAGTTCAACAGTGAACTGTAAATGAGGATCAAACTCATTAAAGTGGGATAGGGTACCCTGAACCTTGTCAGGTGGTAGGGCTAATAATAAATCATCCACATACCTTTTAATAAAAGGGATTTGAAAATCCAAAAGACCCAAACGGTCAGAAACCAAATCATCCAATACAAAGTTAACTAGGATGGGAGAGATTGAGGAACCCATAGGTGTACCAAATGTTTGAAGGTAAAATTTGTCATCAAAGACTAAAAAATTAGTGTCAAACACAAGTTGTAACAGTTCTGCAAATATATCCCAAGACACCGGGCAGTTAGGTTTGATAGAATTCCAATGGTTTTTTTAAGGAAGTAATTACACTGGACAAAGGTAAGTTAGTGAAAAGAGATACCACATCAAAACTTACTAAAATGTACCCTTGGGGTAGTTGAAAATTGTTAATAAATTCACTAAAGTTGAAAGAATCAACAATGTTGAAATCATTGTTGTAATTATATGATTTAGACAAGATGTCTGTTAGAAATTTAGCTATTTTAATATTAGGTGAGTTAGTCAGACTCAGTTATAAAATAAAAAATTAAATTAACCGCCCAAAATTCTGGGTTGGTATTTACACCTTGTTGATCTGTCAAAAGTAATTTTGACCTCAAGGTTGGCTGTCTTTTTGCGGTTTAGTTCGTTCCTGTTTCATCTAACGCCATTTTCACGGCGACTTCCATAGGGCTTTGATCGGTAACTTCATATTCACTATTTTGTAGAATTTTATTAATATTACTTATAATGCTACCTAAAGTTAAAATCAAAGTTTAATATCCATTAAATAGTTGGAGGTTATTTATGATTTTCTTGGTTCTTTCTCACTTATTAACGTAAATAACATTGAATTTATTTTGGACCACATGGTCAATTGCTGTGCTAATTTTTGTACAAGTTCATATATGTTGTTAGTTGCTTAACTGTTTATACAAGATCAGCGTACTATGTCCATTTACTTAGTTTCATTCACATATTTGTTAATAACATTGACTGCTACATATCTTTTTAAGGTAACAATTAACATCGTTTCCATGATTGTGTGGTTCTCATATTGTAATAATTTTTTAGATGAACTGATGATGCTTTCAAAACTCGAAAGCGAAACGTCTTCAAAATAGATAAAGTAGCCTATCAACTTTGTCTTTTATTTCTCCACCTAGAGACCGATATAAGAACCCACCACTCGTCTGAGTGATCCTATATATATAATATATATTATATAATATATATATATATATATATATATATATATATATATATATATATATATATATATATATATACAAAAATAGGTACGAACCCTGAAACTGTAAGAGATATGATCGTAAAGATGACGGGAAGTAAGAAGAGATAAAATATTGTAAATAATTACATTTAAACAAAGTAACTAAAAAGAAAAAAACAAAAGAGAAACATGACCTGGACTAACGACAGACAAGTACGAGAGGGTGGTTGTAGTTGGTAGGCAGGATAACAGGAGGGCATTTAATTACAGGACCTCCTTCTTCTAAGGGGAAATTGGTTCAGATGTACTTCTCTATCCCGAATCCAACACACGCCAGCCATTCCTAGAGATGGGTTAACCTGGTATCGTTTTTAGAAATTTCCACCATCAGAAAAAAAACCGTGACTTACCGTTTGTCTAATATTTGTTTATCTTAACGATTAATAAATAAAATGAATTTGTTTTTTTTTGTATACTTATTATAACATTACATTATTATTACATTAACATTTTTTTTTTTATATTTCAGGAGGCAAACGGATTTACCACAGAACAAATAAATGAAATTCGTAATATTTGTAAAGAAGAATTAAGTAAGTAAAATCACCAATAAGTACAAAGTGGTTGTAGAATACGTATTTTAACGTTTTAATACAGCTTTAAATATCTTTTTTTATACATTAAAACAGATCTAGGCGTTTACTAATATCTATAGTTCGTTTCCAAGACGCATTTTTACCTGGTCAAGGCCTAACTTAGATATAATATATGACATTATCAAACAATTTCTGTGCAATGTCTGACAAAAAATTTGGCTGTTTTTTCTCGAACAGAATCGCATAGAATCTGAATTTTATACCTGATATATATATATATATATATATATATATATATATATATATATATATATATATATTTATATATATATATATATATGTATATAATATATTATATATATATATATATATATATATACTGAGGCTATATATATATACTCAAACTGTGGCTTAGGTATGTTGATGACACATTTATTATCTGGACATATGGAGAAGAGAAGCTTAACGAGTTCCTACAACACATTAATAATATCCACCCAAAAATACAGTTTACCATGGAACGGGAGAATAACCAACAACTTCCATTCCTAGATGTGTTAGTTATTAAGAAAGAAGACGGAAGCATAGGACACACAGTATACCGAAAACCAACCCATACGGACAGGTACTTACACGCAGACTCACACCATCATCCTGCACAATTAAATTCGGTAATAAAAACCCTAATAACAAGATCTGAGAAACTGGCAGATAAGGAACATAAGAACGAAGAAATGCAAAAAGTCAAAACAGCTCTAAGAAAAAATGGCTTCTCCATGTATACGATTGAAAAGGCACAGAAATCCCGAAACACAATCAAAGATCCAGAAGAAGAGGAAAAACCGGTCGGAAAAACTATCCTGCCCTATATAAAGGGTACGACAGACAAAATCAGCAGAGTGTGTTTATCAGCAGTACAGAATCCCGTGTGAGGACTGCGATAAATCGTACATCGGACAGACAAATCGAAGGATACAAGTTAGACGCGAAGAACATCGAAACGCCATCGAAAGAAAACAGAAAACTTCATCTCTAGCACAACATGCCATCAACACAAGACACAAAATCGACTTAAATGGAACAACAATGCTAGCCAATATCGAAAATAAGGCCAAACGTGTAATCAGGGAAGCCATAGAGATCGAAAAACATCTAAAAAATTTAAATACCAGAGACGATGCCCAAAGACTCCCAAATACGTGGAAACCAATTCTACAGAAAAACGTAGAAATTAAAATAGCGAAGAAGACCCCGCCCACTCTGCGTACAGGACCAATCACAAGAAGCGCTTCAAGGTATTTAAACTTAGCGAGCAGCGACCGAGAAATCAGTTCTCCTGAAACATCAAGACGAAGCAGAACTAATCTGACTTGACAATGGCAAGTGTGACCTTGCCGAAACGTCGTCAAAACAATGGTTTTTCTAAAAACCAAAATTACTTAACGCGGAGTCAAACCCGGAAAACAACTGAAATTACTCATAGCTCCCGCGGAAGTTTCAAATCCAATATATATTATATATATATATATATATATATTTATATATATATATATATATACATATATATATATATATATATATTTATATATATATATATATATATATATATATATAACGAAGTTATGCCTGTTAATCCAGGTCCATTGATGACTGCGGTTTTATTCTATTGCGCAAGTTCTTCCGAAAACGAAAGTCTCCCATTACCGAAACTTCACCAATAAGAAAAACTTCTCAAATGAATGCTAATACTGTTCTTCCTAATCTATATGGAGACGAAATTATGAACTATAAAGAAAAGTCCGTACTTATACTATCTACATTCGTTAAACAACTTTAAAAAATTGTTTCGGCTAGCTCAGTTTCTTTTGCAGATTCAGATATAAGATATTTGTGAATAATATATTTGATTCCAATAATCCCACTGATGGAATGGACTTTAACATTAGTGGGTTTGAATCCGAATATGATTAACCTTCCGATTCCTAACCACAAAATTACAAAAGAAAACGATGTATTTTGCAGTGGAACACTAGATCATTAAAAGCAAATAAAGCAATTTTAATTAATTTTGTTCCATAGTACACAAATTGACATTATTGTTTTATCAGAATTATGGCTTAAGCCTGACAAAAACTTTTTTTAAGAGGGTTCAATTCAGTTAAAAAATGTAGAGGTAATGGTAATAGCGGGGTAGGCATTTTTATAGCTGAAGAGTTAGTGTTTAACTAAGTTAATACTATTCAACCGTCAAACAGAGTTAGAGGTTTGCGCAATTACTTTATCTACTATAAATTTGTCAATAGTATCTATTTACCGACCAACCGACGTGGTTGTCAATTTTACCGATTTGATAGAATTATTTTAACAGTTCAAGGCCCATACTGTTGGTGGGTTCAGGAATGTAGTAAGATTTTAGAAAAACAGAAAACAGTCCTAAAACATGATAGAATTCAGTCCAATCATAATAATTATTTAGTATATCAAAACGTTGCTACCCAAACTAAACGTTTATTTAAAAACAAACAACGTTGAAGCTGGATTAACTTTCCAAATAAACCTAACAAAAATACACCACTGACCGAAATTTGGAAGTTCGTTAAAGCTGTAAATAACAAAAGTTTTCTTTCTCCCAAAAAAACCCGTTCAAAAAATGAAAAGATCAAATTAATGTACAACATTAATAAAATAAAATAAAACAAAATAGTTCCTCCTTTTGCTTCTAATTTCGTAGTAAAACCATTTAACAAATTTCTATGTATTGGCAAAGATAAATTGTCTTCTTCTTTCGCAATGAACGAAATGGATTTAGCGATTAAATATAAACATAGTCGAGAGACTGCTCCCGGGTTAAATGGATTTACCTTTAAAATAATTTATAATTTACCATATTCTGCTAAACTTTTTCTTTTGCAGTTATTTAATGACTGGTGAAGGAAACAAAAATATTCAGACTGCTTTAAAAATATTATAATTTGCCTTAAACTTAAACCTTATAAAGATCCAGAAATTCCATCATCACAACATCCAATCTCGTTATCTAAAGATTAATTAAGTTTATATTGGAACATTTTGTTGAATATAGATCATTATTACCAAGCATTCAATATGGTTTTCGTAGAGGACGAGGAACAATCGATGCTGTGAATCATTTAGTTTCAGAAATACGTTATGTTTATTTATAGATCTATGATGTAGTTGACCTAAATATTTTATCAAAAAGAATGGAAACAATTTTAATTAATAAAACCGTATGTGCCAATATCATAAGTCTCTTTCATAATAGAAAAATATTTATTCGAGATCATAATAATTACATGGTCCACACATAGTATGTAACGGTTAACCTCAGGTGTCCGTATTGAGCCCTATTTTATTTTATTATTGACACTGCAGATCTGCATACGTTAGTAGGTGACAAGTTCAACATGATACAATACGCGGATGATTTATGTTTTTACATTAGCCATGGTTCATATGAGAAATGTTTATATGACTTAAAATAATGTACTCATTTACTAATATAGTGGTTTAGTGACATGGGTTTTAGTGTTTCTCAGGATAAGATTGCCTTGGTATGTTTTACTTGTCACCGAGTTAGAACTGCTAGAGCTGCTTGTCTAGATGAGTTCACGATTCCATGCGTCGACGAATATAAGTACCTAGGTATAGTATTAGATAAAAAATTGCTTTGGACTTAACCACACAAAATATATTAAAAAAAGATGCGAAAAAGCTACAAATCTGCTAAAAGTAGTTTCCAAGAAAAAATGGGGAGCTGATGTTACTGTATCGTATATATTCTACAAAGCATATATTCGTTTCACATCGGACTATGGCTGTACATTATATGGGGCAACATCTAAAACGAATCTAATAACTATCGATTGTATACAATACAAAGCTTTAAAAATGTGTATGGGTCAAATGATGTCATCGCCTAACCAAGCAGTCCTTGCAGAAATACAAGAACCTTCAATAAATATACGTAGAGAGTATTTAGCTGAAAAACAAATAATTAGATACAGGGTATTTAATACGAATATGATCCAGAAATGCCTATAAAATGCATGCTATAAAGTTAGCAAAGAAAAAGAAAGCCGTTGGCCCTGATAACATACCGACAAAGATGTTAAAGCTTATAAATGAGGAGAACATTGGAATACTGGTCAAACTTTTCAATCATGTTTATTCGACTGGTGATATCCCTGAAGATTGGTTAAAGTCCAAATTCATGACACTACCAAAAAAACAACGTCCAAAAAACTGTAGCGATTTTAGAATGATAAGCCTTATGAGCCACACTTTGAAAATATTTCTGCGCATCATCCACAGTAGAATCAGAGATAAATGTGAAGAAGATCAGGATGAAACACAATTTGGCTTCAGAAATGGACTGGGAACTCCGGACGCCCTCTTTGCACTAAATGTATTACTGCAGAAATGTCGAGATCAAAGGAAAGACGTCTTTGCTGTATTTGTTGACTATGAAAAGGCCTTTGATCGAGTATAGCATCACAAATTAATTACAATATTAAAAGATAAAGGAGTTAATAGTCAAGACATACGATTCATAGAAAAGTAATACTGGCGTCAAACAGCGACAGCTTGCATAAACGGAAAATCAACAGAAATATGTAAAATACAAAGAGGTGTCAGACAGGGTTGTATACTATCCCCACTGTTATTTAATTTATATTCAGATAGAATATTTAAAGAAGCGCTGCATAATTTGGAATGGGGCGTGAAAGTTAATGGAATTCTGATAAATACAATCAGATATGAAGATGATACAGTTATTTTAAGTGATGACGTGAATGGACTTCAATGCCTTTTAAATGCCATTGATACAGTGGGAAGAGAGTTTGGCCTAGACATGAAATGTTCAAAAACAAAACACATGGTGTTTAGCCGTTTAGCACATTAAGATGCACGATTATATGTTGATAGTCATATACTTCAGAGAGTGTCCAGTTTTAATTATCTTAGTTGCCATAATA